TAAAGCCTTAGAGGCAGAACCAAGGAGCTCCTATCTCCCCCAACCCTAGGAATTTACCTATGGTGCCAAACAAAGACCAATGGGTTACCCATGCACCCCGATGTCCCCTTAGGTTCCACCCCAAACCCAGGTTATATGCCCCCACGCCACGTACCCGCCAGAGAGAAAGCCAAACTCCAGTGGTGGTGGTGGTGGGGGTGTTTTCTCTCTCCACGTTCTCAGAATAAAGGCCTCTTTTGTTTTATACTTCTCATCTTTTGGACGCACTATATAATCTTATCAAAGACGAGTACAGAAATGTAGACTCTTTCTAATCTCCTTTCTATTAAGTATAATATAAAAGCAGGTCTGGAAAGCTGCTATTTACGAAGTACTATTAATGAAACAAGACAGCTGCTCACATTCAAAAGGCAAGGATAACTTCTCAAGCTCTGATCTTACTAGTGATAAAAATTAAAATCCAGCTATGTACTGATTTTGAAATAACAATGGCTACATTTACCTGGTGTCTTTTCCAAAGAGTGAAAACCAAACACTTTAACCATCTTTCAAGCATCAAAACATTTTTTTAAAAAAGCAAAATCATATCCATGGAGACCTGCAGTGTGGGCCCTGAGCTTATGGATTTAATCAACTGAGGACCAAAAACACAGGAGACAAACTCCATCTGTACTGAACACTTGTGGACTTCTTGTCATCATTCCCCAAATAACACAGTGTAATAACTACACAGCATCTCCACTGTGTCAGGGTACAGGTAACCCAGAGGGGAAGGAGGAGTACATGGCGAGACGTGCAAAAAGGTCTATACAACACTCTGCCCTTCCCTTGAAGGGTCTTGAGCACGTGGAATCCATGCGGGGTCAGGGAACCAATCCCTGCCCTGACGCTGTAACTGTGACTGGCAGGCATCAGTGAAGCTGTGCGATCTCCCAGTGAGTAAACAGCATCAGTCTTTACAGAGACGCCGGAGAGTTAACTGTGGACAGGGAGGTGTGTTCAAACCTTCCTGACTTGCACAGCACACCAAGAAGCGGGTGTTAAACCCAGCAGCTCTGACACCTCAGAGATGAGGGCTGGGCTCAGCACCTAACTGCCTGTGAGGGCTCCAGTGCCTGGGAGCAAGCACATCGGTCCCCTGACTGCTTCCATCTGTTCTGGGCTCTGCTCCAGAGCGCCAAATCACCAGACGTGTGATTTCTAGGTCAGTGTGGCTCTGCCCTGTTCTCCTTGCTTAACTAGTCCAGATTAAGACAAAGCAAAACGCAGAACTGAGAACTTTGGGCACTGTAAAAAGGAGAGCTAGACTTCAATGATAAGTTATATATTACAGCGCCTTTCCCTCCGCCTCCCTGAGCAGTGAGGACGTGCAAGGAAGGGACTGTGCAAGCTCCCTCCTCCAAGAGCCCTCCCGGGCCCTTTCCCTATTGCAGCCTTCCCGCCCCTTTCCTCCACTCTCCTGCACCTCTTCCTGCTCATTTCCAACTCAAACTGTGAAAGCTGGCAATTCTTTCTTATGTGAGCCCAAACCTAGGCAGCCTCCTAAGCAACAGGGCAGATTTACAAGTGTATTCAAAGGGCTAAAAAGGGGCCACAAAAAACCAAAACAAAACAAAGCCAAAAACAAACAAAACTAAGGTAGGAGATTAGGGCGGGACAAAACCCGTTAAGCAAGTGGGTGTGATCTTGGAAACACAGGGCATGTAAGCAGAAGCCAGAAATGGAGTGGCTGTGCAGCACGTGGGGCCAACCAGAAAAGTGCCATTTAAACAGGCTTTTGACAGCACGGCTTACATGTAATCTCCAGCTAAAGGGGTTGCTAGTAGGACAACCATCTCAAACGCTTTATTTGCATGAGGGAGAGCAGTCTAGGAACTGGAGATACGAAAGACCTGGCCCATTATCCTTGGACTACTGCAAGCTTTCTCCTCCCCTCTCACTCTCTAGAATCTATTTTCCCACCTTCAATAAACGTAAATCCTCACTACCTTTTCCGAATATCTTTTCCAATTCATTGTTCAAGACACCAAGAACTTAGAAAGAATGTCTATAGGATCCAACAGTGTGGCTGGCACATACCATCCAGCACTCTGGAAGGCTAAGACAGGTGGATTGCAAGTTCAAGCCCAGTGTGGGGAACTCAGGGAGACCTTGTCTCAAAAAATAAAATGGGCTGGGGATGTAGCTCACACCTTTAAACATCCCAGGCAAACTGAAGATTAAACACACAAAAATAAAACCATGAAGGCACTAGGGATAAAAATAAGATCGTATTTTTATAATTTTTTGGTGGAGAGCTCCAGTGTTAACACTTGGGACAAGAGGACCAAAAACCATGATTTAGAAAGCTGAATACATGTCAACCCTAATTTTGTATACAAAACAGCAAAATCAAAATGAAAGGAAAATGGCGCCCACCCACAACCCCAGGAGGTGTCCCTCTCTGCTTCCACTGCCACTGTGAGATCCTTCTCCTCCGCCATGCCTCCCTGGCTTGGAGCCAGGCTGACCAGGGACTAAAACCTCTACAAACTGTGAGTCAGGTAAATCTCTCTTCCTTTAATTTGTGGGGTTGGATACTGTGTGACAGCAATGAGAAAGGTAACTAAGGCAGATCTTGGTACCAAAGTGGGTTATTGCTGTAATTATCTGACCATATGGTTCAGAAGACTTTGGAACTGGTTTACAGTAAGTTTAAAATGATTTGGAGATACCAGCTAGAGAAATTCTAGTTAGAGCTCAGTAAACAGAATGCTGATTTAAAAAAAAAAAAAGGCAGTCAGAAAAGACTGGCAGAGGACGTGTCATGACTTACAACCTCATGTGCCCCCAAAGCCTTCTGCACTCATAGGTGGGGTTTTTGGGAGAGCCTGGATCATGGCTGATGACACTGATCAGTTCACTGACTGGCTTAGTGTCACTCTGGGTGTGGCTAAGTGGATTTACTGAAAAGGGAAGGCCCACCTTGGGTGAGTGGTAGCAATCAATAAGCTTGCAGCCAAGAAGAAATAAAAGGAAAGCAAAAGGAACGCTGCTGCTTCCTGCCTGCCACACCACCACCTTTTGCTGTGCTGCCCGCATTAGAGGTTTCATTCCATACAAACTGAGCTAAAATACAACTCTCTTCCTTTAACTTATGGGGGCCAGGTACTTCATCCCAGCAACCAGAATGTAACTAAGACAGGTTTCAGCTGTGAACAAGAACTCACTGACAGTTAAGACTTCAGGGCCACGTGTGTCATGGTTTGGCAAAAGATTTATCTACATTGTCTTCCTGTCCTGATTTTGAGGGAAACAGATTGAGCAGCCAAGCATTCTATACTAGGACAATAGCAAAAATGCTTTGAGAAAATGTGAGATCCAGTGAGGGTCTATCCTTCCAAGACTCAAAATTGTAAAAATGAAGCACTTTGTTTAAGAAGAGATTCCCAGGGCACTCTCTTGAAGATGGGCTACCTAGGGAATTGATTTCCCAATCTGTAGCAGACTGATACATGCAGAATGTAGGAGTTATGGGGTCAGGGAGGTTTCTACCTAGATGTGAGAAGGCAGCCTGGGAGGCCAAACACTGTGCCAGAGAGTGAGGCAGGAGATCAGGGCATGGCAAACTGGCTGGGGAGTGGGAATGACCTGTCAATTGCCGAGTTCCAGGACGTATGTGCAGCACATTTTCAAAAGTCCTGCACCTGGAACCAATCAGAGTATATATCAGAGTTCTTCTCACAAGAACGAGCAGGTTTTAGAAGGTTGAACTAGGCCACATATCAACCTAACAAGTGAGAGATGCGAAAGACAGCCACCATTGTGCTCTTGGCCGCTGTGCTCTTTCTTTCACAGTGGTCCACTTCCACCCTGTAGAGAATATACATTTTTCCTACTTTTAGTTCACTCAAACTTGCTCTGCAGAGTGTGTTTCTTATCTTTAATAACTGCAAAGCCTTCCTACCTTGTTTTGTTCAAATCTTACAAGAACAACAGTATCACATTAAAGGCACTGATATAAAAGAAAAAAGATAAAACATTTCAGTAGAAAGAGCCAAAGGATACAGAGAAGCAATTTGTAAAAGACAGAAAAAAGTCAATGAACCATGAAGGGACAGTTGGTCTTGCTGTCACCCATCAGACTGTGGAAATGCAAAGTAAACACAGAATGGGTGCTGGGGGCAGCACTGGTGGGTAGTAGAATGGCACCCTTGTTTGGTGACCTGGACAGACGCACCCACATCTTATGTGCTCTTTCCTTTTGCCCCTCAACTTAATCCTAGGGATTTATGCTCAAAGGATAATGAGGTGCACCAGATTTGTCCACTAAAGCACTGTTCATAGCACTAAGAATAAATAGCCAAGCCCACGCTACCCATCAACTGGGTGCATGATTAAATAACCTACATTGTGTGCCATGTATCAGTGGTATATACCATGATTCTACAGAAGATATAAGAATTTACTGATTTAAAATGTTTGTGCTATGTTTTTTTAAAGCTCCAGATTTATGTCATATTTTTTAAAAACCATGGTATATGTATGTTTAAATGTGTGTAAGTTTAAAAAGTTGAAAACCATTAGATAACATTTCCAATATTTGTATCTTTTTAAAGAAAGCTATAATCCTTTATTAAAACGTGGAAATTTTAAGCTGGTATGATTTACACTTAAATAAACCTGACCCACACACAGATATGTCTTCAACTCCAGCCTTCACGTTCAAGCAGAAGCCTTTAAGAAAGCGGAATATAAAGCTATCTTTGTGTGTCACAACATAAAAATTGGAACACTGAATCCACTGAGCAGAGATTTGCTCATGTCCTATGCATGAAACAACTGTTTCATCTCAGAACCAAATTTAATGGTTATCAATATCATCCATCACTTTAATTTGTATTAGGTGTAATTTTTTCTTGTTCTGCTTTCTGAGTATGTAGTTCAAGCTAGACTCAAACTTTTATTTCTCTTGCCTCAGGAGTGGCAGGTTCACAGCCATACATCATAGCACCTGCATCAATATTCCTTCTTATATGTATCAAAACTCATACTGAATAGTGAGTTCTGGGTTGCAAAAGAGGGTTTATTTTTTACACTTCTCCATAAGTTTTAGTCCCACAAGTTAGATCAAAACAGGCACAAGCACTATTACACTTTTTAATTTTGTTTAGAAATAAAAGCATACAAGCCCTCCCTGCGAGTAGGTGCCATGTGCAGGTTGCTAGGGGGAGAACCAGATGCCAGCCGCTTCTGGCACATGGGCTGGGAGACAAGAAGAGCCAAGGCCCCCTGTACCTGCCGTGTAAGTAACCGGCTGACCCAGAGAAACACAGGCTGAGATGGTAGCTATTGAAGTAAAATACAACTTGTAATGTTTAGTGTTTCACTGACTTTGCAGGCCCAAAGCTGGTAATCTGATCATCTATTCAGAGGATAACAATAGGCAATGTAGCATCCATGGGGCTCTCCTTCCGAATGTGATGGTCACTGTTATTTCCCTGTTATCTTGTTTCAAAATCCTATATCATTCTCATTGTTTTGTTTGGTTGGGTTTTATTGTTTTGTTTGATTTTTTGTATCTGATGGCATGGGCAGCTATTTCAAAGATATATTATGGCAGCTATTTTGGATTTACTATTTTTTTTTAAGTCCTTTGTTGCATTCATTGTTTTGTTTTTATTAGTTTTATTCGGTCCTGTTTTGATTTTTACTATATCTGGTAATATGGACAACTATTTTGAAGGCAACAAGAGGTATTATGGTAACCACTATTGATTTATTGATTTCCTATTATCTTATTTTGAAGTCCTGTATCACTCACCCTGTTTTGTTTTGATTGGCATTATTCTGTTTTATTTTGCTTGGTTTTATTTTAATATAAAAATTACCAAAAAAAAAAAAAAAGGTGTAAATCATCCTCGAACAAAGAAAAAAACAAATCTTACCAGGCTCAATTCCCAGTATTCCAATACATACATACATGTATGTCCTTAAGAAGAAAACCAAAAGAGATCACTACACAAAACACATCACTACCAAATTCACCTACTTCCTGTTGTTCTTAGAAGAGTGAACACCTCAACTTTCTGGGATGCATTCAAAGACCAGATTCAATACTGCACACTATGCCCTAAGAATAGCTCTTTGGGGTTTGCTAGTGAGGGCTGCAGCTGAGAAACCAGGAGGGTGCCAAGGCTGTGGGAGTGTTCCAGGGCCACGAAGGTTTCCTCTCTCCTCCAGCATCACCCAGTAGGGCCTCTAAGATCTCCTTTCCCATAGTAGAGCTGACCTGCCCTCACCAACCTAAGAAACGGGAGGACTCAGGACTGGGGCATAAGTTGGTCTGGTTTAGGTCAGAAGAATCTCTAGAAGAAAAACGTATCTTTTTTATCCAAAAGCTTTTAGCTTGAGCCAATTAATAATCATTATCTGGTAAGCAATTTCTCCTTTTAGGAGAAAATTTTAGGTGCATCAAGAACTATCTTATGGTCAATTTTCAGTAAGAACACTTCTAAAATTCCTACTTTTGTGTACATGCCCCTCAATTGTACCACGTTTAGTTTATCTTCCAGTTTTCCAAGTATCCTATCTTTCCATACATTAGGGGCACTGTACAATGGTTTTCTTAACAGTCAATAAACCTTGCCCTCTAGGATCAAGAGATGTTCAATTGAGCCGGGCATGGTGGCTCACATCTGTAATCCCAGCACTTGGGAGGCTAAGGCAGGAGTATTGCTGCGAGTTCGAGAACAGCCTAGGCTACTAAGTGAGCTCAAGGCCTGCCCGAACTGCATAGAGAGACCCTGTCTCAAAAAAAAAAAAAAAAAGATGTTACAATAAAACACGCAGAAACATGTTACTTGTCATATCTAACTGGGAGTTGATATGTGTCCAGTACAATTTTTAAAATAAACTGTCAGAAAGAAAACTGCTTCTTAAGACAGGATAGTTAATACTCAAGGTTCCCTCTTTAGATGTAATTGCAAGGAGGGTTACTTAGTGCAAAGCAGAAGGTCCTTGACAGCAAGTTTTACCCCTGGATAGCTGACTTGGGACTTGGGACATCTATGGAAAGCACAGGCAGAACAGTTACCATGTTCAGTGACCTCCCCAGGCTTCTGGGGATGGTGATGAAAACAGTGTACTACTCTATCAATTCATTCATAACCTGCATGATCCAAATCAGATTTAACCCACTGTGACTCCTTCAAAAAAGAAAACCAGAAAGTTTCATTGTCAAAATCAAACCATTAAGCAGTACCTTCGTGAGTCGGGTCACGCACTCTTATCTTGTGGCCACATTTTTTTCCAAAGCAAGGAAGTTGCCAACAGTCAATAGCAACCCCCGCACCCTATACCAAATCAAAAAGTGCTTGAACTTGAACTTGCTTTGAGTGAGAAAGGCTTCTATGAAAGACCACGAATACCTAACATAGGAAGACTGAAAACACTGTTACATACAAATTCACGGCATTTGAGTAACTGCCTAAAGAGATGGAAATCTCCGATGCGCAGGTCTCACATCTCTCAATGTGCTTTCCCTCTGCTCATTTTGCTTTTACATTAATTCTATTTTACACTGAGAAAAGAGAAGCAGAAAGAGACTCTGCCTCTTCAGGTTCTTACAGAAGATGAATTAACCCTGGTCTCCTGTTGCAGCCACAAACTCCAGCTTGGTCACCTCCCCAGCAACACTTCAGCCAACAGGGCAACACTGTGCCGCCCATACCGCCAGCTGGAACACACCACCTTGCCTGCTCAGCTGTGCTGGGTTTTGTGGTCCTCACAAAGTCATGATTCAAGCAGAGGATTCCTGACCCCAACCATTTACACTACCCCTGCCTGGGGGAGAGCTGAAGGAAAGTTCCAAGTGGAGACCCGGCCCCAGTCCCAAGGTGGGCAGAGATACTTGGGTGCAGTTCCCTGGGGGGCCCTGGGAACAGGGCTCAAGCCATCATCACTGCTCTTCAGCATCAGAGCAAACACAGAAATGTTCATGCTGCCAATTTCTTAAGTAAAAATTATCCTTATTCTTCCACAACCAGTTAAGCACCTGTAAGTAAATGTGAAATGAAGTACGAACCCAGATATCCTTTTGTTGATGTTAAATTGCTCACAGATGTCAGATGCCAGCACTGTGAGCTGGGGCCCAACAATGCTGTCCAGTCTTCGGCAAAATTCCAATGTCAGCTGAATGGAGGCTGGGGAGGGAGTGGAGAAAGAGCATCCAGTGTTGTAGCACTGTGTCAAACAGGTCCACAGCCATTTTACTACCCAATACTTAACAGTATCTAGACAAAGACTTTACTAATCAATTTTGTAAGAATGAAACAGAAGCGTTACAATTAATTACATTTAAGAAGAAAAACAGTCACACTGTGTTGCCACAAAATGTTGATCTGCACATGCCCTGAGGCGTGGTGGAATGGCTACATGCCCCAGGCAGACCTAAGAAAGTCACACATTTTAAAAATTCATGAAGCAGCACTCAGGGTCCAGGTCCACCCGATGCTTTACAGGCAGTCCTTGTTTAATTCCCCAACCCCCTTGCAGCCCCACCACAGTAAGGGAGGTGCACAGCGGCACCCAGGTCCTACTGTAGCCAAGGGAAAGCCAGGCTTTTGAAACCTCAGCAATGGCCAGTTAAGGGCCACAAGTCCCAGATAGGGAACATCCCTTAACACAGCCTGCCTGCTGCTTCTGACTACATGCTTATCATTTAAGAAGAGGGGATAAAATTTGCAAAAGACTGATCTGCTCAGGCTGTACTGAGACTCAGATGTGTACCTACCATCAATCATAAAACATACGGCCGCACTCATTGCCTGGAAAGAAACAAACCAGCAGTTAGAAAATGATACAGAAATGAGCCTTAAATACAATAATCAAATGTAGTAAACATGCTTTTTTTTTGGTATCAGGGATCGAATTTACAACCTCATGCTTGCCAGACAGGTGCTTATGCTGCTGAGCTAAATCCCCACCCAACATGCTTAAGCCTTGATCTGAACAAAACAACTGTACAGAGATATTTTTTCCGTGACTAGAGCAATGTGGACACAAGTAGACAGTAAATGGTGCTGAAGAAGCACTGCAGACTTTATCACCTGTGATAATGCCATGGTGGCTATGGCACAATAAATGTCCTCATTGGTCAGGGAGGCAGGTGTGAGACTTCACAGTGCAGTGGTTTAAAGTGCTCAACGAACAAAGCACACAGCACTGGGGAAGGGTGGATGAAAGATTAGCATCTTACTAAGTGAGCACTGTGACGGGGGACCTTGGGTTCATTATTCTAGTCTGTGTGTGTCTGACAATTTCCATTAATACAACTTTTAAAAGACCACAGATCGATGCCATCTCATCTCAGTTTCTCTCTGCAACATTGGCAAGTAACAGCAATCTATGACCAAGACTATGATCAAACATGTTCCAACTCATGTAAAATTAAGATTTCAAGTGAACAATCTAATCTTCCATCTTAAGATTCTGGAAAAGGGCAAACTGAACCAGAAGGAGACAGAAGGAAGGAAATGAGAACACTCAGAGCACAAGTAAATCAGACAGAGAACAGAACAGTATAAGAGACAATAAATGAGAACCACAAGTTAGTTCACTGAAAAGACTGATCAATGAAATTGAAAACCCTCTCCCTAAACTACAGAGAACAAGAGAGAAGACTTACATTATCACAATCGGGAATAAAAGAAAAAACAGCAATATCAACTTTACAGGGAAAGAAAGAACTGTAAGGCTATATGAACTATGAAAACCTGTATATCCAACAAATTAATTAACCAATAACATAAATAAATAAAACAGTAACACATACTATGAGAACTGCCTCAAGAACAGAAAATCAGAATGGACCTCTAACAAACAGACCAATTAACAATTTTATTATTATTATTTTGTGGTACAGGGGATTGAACCCAGGGCTTTTGTGAAAACCACACACACAGCTTGAGACTGAATTGCTTGGGATGGTCTCAACCTTGCAAGCCTCTTGCCTCAGATTCCCAGGATGCTGGATCTACAGGTATGTGCCATCACACCTGGCTAATTAACAATGTTAAAGCTTATGAAGGAAGCCCAGGTTCAGATGGTTCCACTGTGAGTTCTCTCAAACATTTAAAGAATTAGTACT